CCCCTGCAGCGGGGGCACGCCCTTGCCCGGGTCTGTCAGTGCCCACGACCCCCTGGCAGCAGCAGGATGTTGGCAGCCGCAGCCCCCTGTATCCCGGGGGCAGGGGTGGGGGGTGATGCCTGGGGCTCTCAGGGACGACGGTATCATGCAGCTCCAAGGTTGCACGCGGGGTTTATCTGGACTGGTTTGAACAGGGCTGATCCTGCCTCGGGCCGGGCTGGGCTGGGCTGGATGTGACCCCGCAGCAGCTCCTGCCCATCCCACTGCACTGGGACCCTAAATCCTAGATTCTGCCGTTTCTGTTAAGATGCAGGTGGGAAGTGGCAATGCTTTTCCTCCTTTACTCGTTTCCGCCGTCCATCGCCGGTTCCCCCCAGGTGCTGGCGGCGTGCTGCGCAGCGCTTTGGCCGCGTTCGCGTGCACAGAGCCCCGGGGCGGGGGCTGCTGGATGCAGGCAGGCTCTTGGACGCGCGTCTGCCAGCACTGAGCGGCATCCGGGGCCATCTCGTACTTCTGCCAGTCCAGCAGCCCCCACCATACCCTCGCCGGTGCCCTGAGTCCATCTGGATTATTTCAGGCAGTGCTTCATGCTCGGTCTGCAGCAAACCTCCAGCTGCTCGCTAAGGCACGGGATCCTGGGCACCCACGGGCCAGGCCAAGGGTCTCAGTCACGCTGTGCACGTGGTTCTTCAGCAGCTGCCTTAGCCCTCGATGCAGGGCTGGCAACCTGTCCGCGCCCTGACGCTGCGCTAGTGCTGCTCCTGCTCCATCTTTGAGGCCTCCCTGGACAGTTTGGTGGCTTTTTTATGGGCACAGCACTGTAGCACCAGTGCTGATGGGTTTTTACATCGTTAGATTTACTTTCAAGCTCCAGGTCCCGTTCTCCGCCCTTGGGGAGAGGACACCTGGGGCAGGTTGGGTGAGATGTACTGTTAGGTGCGAGCGTGCTGATATCCTTCAGCCTTCCCAGAGATCTCCGAATTCCCTCTTTATCTCCTGGTTTTGGCACCTGCTGCAGGGCCTGGACCTCTGAGCGAGCGGGCGCGATGCCCCTGGACCTCACCTGCCAGGCGGGCGGGGTATTTCAGCTGCCCAAAACTGCCCCTTGCCCACACTCGGCGGGAGGCTGTCAGTCCTTGTAACGCCCAGGGCTGTTCTCCACGTCCGATGGCACTTCTGCCCCCAGTTACCACCTCTTCATTAGACCTTCGCACCTGCCAGACCCGCTAGTGTCCGCCTCGTCTGGCAGCAAAATGGTGCTGGAGCTGAGCCTATGATAAGACGCAGGATGTTAGCAGGGTCGGGGGTGATGGTAGGTCTTACCGAGGGGTCGGACACTGGGTTTGTCTGGGCTGGTTCGGACTGGATGTGGCCGCGCAGCTGCCTGCCAGGCCCGTGGCTCTAGGGTCTCTTGTAAGCAATGGTTTTTCTGGAAACAGCGACCTTCAGATGTTTTCCTGATTTCAGCAGGGCTGCCCCCTGCCCTAGTCCTAACCCTAACCCCCGCCCCTTCTCCCCTTGCAGTGCGGCCAGGGCTTCTCCCAGGACGAGAGCGGGCGCTGCGTGGGTGAGTGGCTGGGGCGGCGCGGGGCAGAGGCTGTGCCAGGCCGTGGGCCTGATCCCACCCGTGGCACCGTGCTGCGGTGGGGGCAGGGCCGGGTCCCTGGGGGTACTATTGATGGCCGAAGTAAGTCCAATGGATCTTTGGGCCACCCCGGTCGGGTGGCCAGTGGTGGTACCGGCGTCCGGCTGGTGACCAGACAGGTCACGGGCCGGCCTGGCTGTCTGTGGGGGTCGCGGGGCCAGGGCATGGTCCTACGGGGCAGCATCCTGGGCCAGGGGTGCGGGGGTCATTCTGCCCGGGAGAGCGGGGGCCTCGACTCAGGCTGGGCTCCTGCTGCAGACACGGACGAGTGCACGGCCTTCCCCTTCGTGTGCCCCCGCGAGAAGCCCGTCTGCATCAACACCTACGGCGGGTACCGGTGCCGCAGCAACCGGCGCTGCGGCCGCGGCTTCGAGCCCAGCGAGGACGGCACGGCCTGCGTGGGTGAGTCGCGGCGCGGCACGGCACGAAGATGCCCCGTGCCCCCGCCCGCTCTCCGGGGCCGGGCAGTGCCACTAACCTCCTGCCTCTCTCTCTCTGTCTCCTGCAGCTCAAGTGGCCTTTCTCGGTGGCTTCCCCTCGGCAGGGACCCAGCTCGGGGCCTGGCACCCCCCGGACCCTCTCCCCGCGCTCCTGCTGGGCCTCGCTCTCTGCCTTCACGTCTATGCACTTTAACCCCAGGAGCCAGCGCAGCCTCGGCGGTCCGGCCTGTCCCTCCGCCCCGTCCCTCTCTCCGGCCATCGCCCAGGGGTGCGGGGCCAGCCCGGGCGCAGCCTGCAGCCTTCCCTCCTTGCATGTTTTCTGAGAAAACAGCCGGGGCCCTGCTGCCCCCGCCCCCCAGGCCCCGCAGGGGAGGCTGCTGCCCCCACGCCACGTGCCTGCTGGTTTGGCCTGTGCCCCGTCTGCTGCCCGGCGAGGGTGGGCGTCCCCCCTCGCCCCTGCCCCCTAGGAGAGGGGCCTCCCGGTTTGTTTTCTAATGTCTCCGGAGTTGGACCCTGCTCAGTCTTCCAGCCCTTCCCGGGATCGACCGCCCAATAAACTCCTGTCTGTTAGCACCCGCCTGCCGCTGCCTGACCTGGGCTGCGGGAGGGGAGCGACGCTGCGCCCCGCTCTCGCCCTCCCTGCTCCAAGCTGCAGGGTCCGGGCGCTCCCGGGAGCCCAACCGGGGCCGCAGTCCCTGCGTCCCCGCTCCCCGGCTGGTGCCTGGCCCGAAGAGCTGGCGCTGGAGGTGGCAGCAGCACCGCGGGAGTGGGGGAGGCAGGATAGGGGCCCATGCGGCCCAGCCCTGCAGCTCCCAGCACAGAGCCCGAGCGGCGAGGGTGGCGGTGCACTCAGCACCCGCCCAGCACTGCCCGGAGGGCACCGGCTCCGGCCTGCGCGGCAGGGCGACCCACACAGCCTATTGCTCCCCCAGGCCCTGGAGCCAGATCCTGGATCAGTGCCTCTGGCTCCAGCAGCCACGGGGAGGGAGCGCAAGGTGGTCTTTGCTGGGCCACTGGGCCGTGCCCTGGAGTTCAGGTATCCAGCGTGGCCCATGGGACCAGGCCTGGCTGCCTGGGGGTGAAGTCCCTGCCCCAGGCATCGAGCATCTGCCTCCTGCCGCCAGCCCCTTGGCTGTGCCCAGCACCAGCCTGTCTGTCCCAGCGCGGGGCCTGGACCGAGGGCAGGGCACCCCCCTCGCCCATGCTCTCCCTGCAGCCCCGCGCCAGCCCGGCGGACCCCAGTCTGCTCCGGCGGGCAGCTGTCCCAGCCCCGTGCCTTTCCCTTTCCCTGCTGCTGCCCCTGCCCACCCTGTGCCCCTCCCAGCACAGATCTGGGGCAGAGAAGGGGCATCTGGACCTCCCCTATTCCAGCCTGCAGGGCTGGGCCGCTCGCGAATGGGCGCCCCAGTTCCTACCTGCCCCAGAGCCAGCGACCCCAATCCCCCCTCGCCCCTCCCCGCAGCTGCAGGAGGAGGTGGTGGCGGTGGCTGGGAGAAGCAGGAGGTTTATTGTGGCACAAGGTGTAGTGGGGTCTCCCCGCGGGCATGTGGCCCCGGCCAGGGAGCAGGGCCAGGACCCCCCGCGCCTGCCTGGCGACCCCTCCGGGGGCAGCGTCAGCCCAGCCCAGGACCCCACGTCCAGCCCTGGCACGGCCCAGCTGCCCCTCCCGGTCCGTGACGGGCTGGGCACGGGCCTGCACCCCTCCCAGCCCCCTCAGAGCACTGGTGGGGGCGGGGGCAGCTCTCAGGCCATGCCCGGCTGGACAGCAGGAGCTCCAGTGCCCAGGGACCCCTGGGCCGCGCGGGGCAGGGCAGTGGGGAGTGGGTGTCACGCCTCCCCCTTCCTTGGGGTCAGCACTTCACCTTTGACCTTTCATGGGGGCACATGGACAGACAGATGGTGGGACGGAGACCCCGGGGTGCAGCCCAGGCACTGGGGTGGCAGCAGCACTGCCGGCCTGGGCACGGGGCAGCAGGGCAGAGACGGGGTCATGCAGGGAGGGCAGGGCAGGGCTGGGGCGGGCAGGCAGACATGCCCCAGGCTTCCCCCTCCCACCCCGCGCCCGCCCCCCCTGCCCCAGCCCTGCCCAGCTTTGGCACTGAGGAGCCAGACACAGCGTGTGCATCGGGGCTGGGGGCACCATGCTGGACAGGGCACGCACCGAGATGTGGGGAGGGGTAACACTGACGGTGGGAGCCAGGCGGCCGGGCAGGCCCTCGCCCAGCCGGGCACCTACGTGAAGAGGCCGCGGGGGCCAGGGCCAAGGCTGTGCCCGCTGCGCACCAGGCAGGGCTGGCACGGGTGGCAGGAGCGGAGCAGCAAGGAGACAAGGGCAGGGGGTGCCCCAGGCATCAGAGCCAGCGGCCCCCACAGATGCCTCCTCTGCCCCCTCCCAGCCCAGGCAGGGCCTGATCCTGGCAACGTGAGGGATCAGGTGCCCGGTTGCGCTGGGAATGAGGGGATACAGGCCGCGTGGCTCTACAGGGGACCCCTGTCCCGGCACCAGTTGCTGACCCCAGCAGGTGCCAGGCCCAGTGCCAGGGGGCTTCCGCGGGCAGTCCCTGGCCCCCTGCCCCCCTCCAGGCCCCGGGCAGCAAGAGGTGCCCCCCGGGGCTGGGGGCAGAAGGCTCAGAAGCGGGAGCTCTGGTACCGCAGCCTGCGGACCTCGGCGCGGCCTTCGTCCCGGCAGGACAGGTTCC